GGAAATGCTGCAGCTGCTCTCATGGCTGGTCTTGCTCCTAAAACGAAGGTACCATGTTGCAGAACGCTGGCTGTTACGTTATCGGACAGGGCGTTTTGAAACTTCTCTAGAGCTTAACCTGTTTGTTTGTTTTCTTGTGGTGATGTTTCAGGTGCTTAGGGATGGAAAATGGAGTGAACAAGAAGCTGCTATTCTTGTCCCAGGTGATATTGTTAGCATTAAACTTGGAGACATTATCCCAGCCGATGCCCGTCTCCTTGAAGGTGATCCTTTAAAGGTTGATCAGTCTGCTCTAACTGGAGAGTCCCTTCCTGTGACCAAGCACCCAGGTCAAGAAGTTTTCTCTGGTTCAACTTGTAAACAAGGAGAAATTGAAGCGGTTGTTATAGCTACAGGAGTTCACACCTTCTTTGGTAAAGCTGCTCACCTTGTGGACAGCACTAACCAAGTTGGACACTTCCAGAAAGTTCTTACATCCATTGGAAACTTCTGTATCTGTTCAATCGCTATTGGTATTGTGATTGAAATAATCGTCATGTACCCTATTCAAAAAAGGAAGTACAGAGATGGAATTGACAATCTCTTGGTCCTCTTGATCGGTGGTATCCCCATTGCTATGCCAACGGTCTTGTCCGTGACTATGGCTATCGGGTCTCATAGGTTGTCTCAGCAAGGTGCCATCACCAAACGTATGACTGCCATAGAAGAAATGGCAGGGATGGATGTCCTGTGCAGTGACAAAACCGGGACACTAACCCTCAATAAATTGAGTGTGGATAAGAACTTGGTTGAGGTTTTCTGCAAAGGCGTGGAGAAAGATCAAGTCCTATTGTTTGCAGCCATGGCTTCTAGAGTTGAGAACCAGGATGCTATTGATGCAGCCATGGTTGGAATGCTTGCTGATCCAAAGGAGGTATAACTCTTCTCGGTTTGAATTACTTTTGCAGTTTAGTGAATATTCAAAAAAACAAGTTCTTATGTTTCACTTGGATTTTCGTAGGCCCGGGCTGGAATCAGGGAGGTTCACTTCCTTCCATTCAACCCTGTGGACAAGAGAACTGCTTTGACATACATCGACTCTGATGGTAACTGGCACAGAGTCAGCAAAGGTGCTCCCGAGCAGGTGATGATGAGTCTTCAACTTTCCCCTGCAGATGTTAGTTTTTCCCTTTATTCGGTTTACTAATTCGTCCTCCCACACAGATCCTCGACCTTGCCAATGCCAGGCCTGACCTTAGGAAGAAGGTACTCTCTTGTATTGACAAGTACGCGGAGCGCGGTCTTAGGTCATTGGCAGTTGCGCGTCAGGTACTTATTTACTAGTGGTCTTATATTATCAGACTTCTTTGTCTTTTTTTTTGCATGGAATTAAATGCTCTTGTTCCTTTAAGGTGGTTCCTGAGAAAACAAAAGAAAGCCCAGGTGGACCATGGGAATTTGTTGGCTTGTTGCCTCTTTTCGACCCTCCAAGACATGACAGTGCCGAAACCATTCGTAGGGCTTTGAATCTTGGTGTAAATGTCAAGATGATCACCGGTAACTATACTTATTCATCATTTTCTTTTTCATGAAATCTGTGGCTATTTAGATGTTTCCTCCTAACTTGCTCTCTAACTACGTTGCCAGGTGATCAACTTGCTATTGGTAAGGAAACCGGTCGCAGGCTCGGAATGGGAACCAATATGTATCCATCTTCGGCTCTTCTCGGTAATGACAAAGACGCGAACATTGCATCCATTCCTGTTGAGGAATTGATTGAGAAGGCTGATGGGTTTGCTGGCGTCTTTCCAGGTTATAACTTGCTTTCAATCTTAAACCTCATCATATGTTTATTACTAAAAATTATTTGTTATATTGATCCAAGCTTCTTATGTTTCTTATTGCAGAGCACAAATATGAAATTGTGAAAAAGCTGCAAGAGAGGAAGCACATTGTTGGAATGACTGGTGATGGTGTCAATGATGCTCCTGCTTTGAAGAAAGCTGACATTGGTATTGCTGTGGCCGATGCTACAGATGCTGCTCGTGGTGCTTCAGATATTGTTCTCACCGAACCTGGATTGAGTGTTATCATCAGTGCAGTGCTCACTAGCAGAGCTATCTTCCAGAGAATGAAGAACTATACTGTGCGTATTTTTTTAAGTTTCTTCTTATAGTATGCCCACTACTTGTGTTTGTATGCACCAGAAACTAATAAACTTTTTTTCCTGCTTGTGACAGATTTATGCAGTCTCAATCACAATCCGTATTGTGGTAAGTAGACACCATATATAGATATGTATCACTTATTTAGCATGATTTCTCTTCTTTTTTTTTGTGTACTGATCATATTGCGTTGTAACTTTGCAGTTTGGTTTCATGCTTATTGCTTTGATATGGGAATTTGACTTCTCAGCGTTCATGGTTCTGATTATTGCAATCCTTAATGACGGTGAGCAAATGATTTGATTTTACTATATGGCCTCCTAACACTTTATGTGCTATATCTTATGGTTTTATGTGTTGCTATCTTTTAGGTACTATCATGACAATCTCAAAGGATAGAGTGAAGCCATCTCCCACACCTGATAGCTGGAAGCTCAAAGAAATTTTCGCCACCGGAATTGTGTTGGGAGGCTACCAAGCCGTTATGAGTGTTATTTTCTTCTGGGCTGCTCACAAGACCAACTTTTTCTCGGTAATCATCATCAGTTTTTTTTTGTTTTGTTTCTTGAGTAAAGGTGCTTCAGGGATAATGTAGATATATATTGCCTGGCCCTCTGCTCAGACTCTTTAAAAATGATTTCACCTTTGATTTGCAGGACAAGTTTGGTGTGAGGTCAATCAGGGACAATAACAATGAACTAATGGGTGCTGTGTACCTACAAGTTAGTATCATCAGTCAAGCGCTTATCTTCGTCACAAGGTCAAGGAGTTGGTCGTTCGTTGAACGTCCTGGGGCACTTCTGATGTTTGCATTCGTCGCTGCACAACTGGTAAGAACATAACATACACATATTTTCAGGAAGTCTATTAGGTACACTTTGAAGAAAAGATATCCGTTGAAATTCATTGACTCTTCCTCCCAAATGCAGATTGCAACTTTGATTGCAGTGTATGCCAACTGGACATTTGCAAAGGTGAAGGGTATCGGTTGGGGATGGGCCGGTGTGATATGGCTTTACAGTATTGTAACATACTTCCCACAAGACCCTTTGAAGTTTGCCATTCGATACATCTTGAGTGGAAAGGCTTGGGTCAGCTTGTTTGACAACAGGGTACATACAACTAACTCTTCTCTATCTACCATTATAGAGACCTCTTTTTTACAGCGTGATGGTACTACATTATGCTAATTGCTTCTGCTGTTACTTGAACAGACCGCTTTCACGACCAAGAAAGATTACGGTATTGGAGAAAGAGAAGCTCAATGGGCACTTGCTCAGAGGACATTGCACGGTCTGCAGCCAAAAGAAGACGTTAACATCTTCCCAGAGAAAGGAAGTTACAGAGAGCTGTCTGAGATCGCCGAGCAAGCCAAGAGAAGGGCCGAGATAGCTAGGTGAGTACTTTGATTAATCAATCTCAAGCTCAACCGAAAATGCAATTTGATTGATTCTGATTGGTGAATGCTTTGATCTTATGTTGCGACAGGCTTAGGGAGCTTCACACATTGAAGGGACATGTGGAATCAGTCGCAAAGCTAAAGGGCTTGGACATTGATACAGCAGGACATCACTACACTGTGTAGTTGCAGTTTGCACAACACAAAGATTACCTAAAAATACCAACCCATGATGACTCCTCTTTTCTTTTTTTGTCTTCACAAATCTCTTTTTAAGGTCATTACAGTAGAGGGAAGAGAACTTTGTGTATTGCCATAACTCTTCCAAAAAACTCTTCTATTGTTAGTCATTGTTCCTAAACTCCTACTCGAGCTTTTGCAAAATTTGCCTTTGAAGAAACAAGGCTTTTGCCTTGGTGTTTTGGCACTTTGGCTACACC